TTTTCATGGCAAAATTTTTTTTATTTTATTTTTTTTTTTTTATGTTCATATTTATCGGTATAATTATTTGTTTTTTTTTTTTCTTTTTTCTTTTATTATTCATATGTGCATACAAGGCTTGGTTTATTTCTCCCCCCTGCCCCCACCCCCTCACTTACCACCCACTCCACCCCCTCCCGCTCCCCTCCTCAATACCCAGCAGAAACTATTTTGCCCTTATCTCTAATTTTGTTGTAGAGAGAGTATAAGATGCTCTCAGGACTGGGAATAAGACGAGCCTGGTAAGCAATGTGGGGAGCCTGCCGTGTGCACCTTCCTTTTCTGGGCACTATGGAAGATTATTCCAGAAGGTTCTTGAGCATAGATTCCATGGCTCAAATCCACGCCCTTCAACATTCTTTTCTAGTGGATCAATTGATGGTTACTTTTTTTTTTTTAACTTTTTTTTTTTCAAAGAGATAGTGTCTAGTTCACTGTGTTGTCCCAGCTGGACCCAAACTCCTAGGCTCAAGCAAGCCTCCTAAGTAGCTGGGACTATATACCACTGTGCCTGGCTTTGTTTTAATTCTTTTTAAATCATAAATACTTCTCTTTTTTTGCAGAACTGGATTTTGAACTCAAAGCCTCACGCTTGCTAGGTAGGAACACTTACCACTTGAGCCACTCCGCCATCCCTGTAAATACTTCTTTATGAAGACTAAAGACTAGTATTAAATATGAGGAAAATCTCACAATTCTTATGATAAAAATGACAGTAGTAATTTTTTTTTTTTTTGGCAGAGGGCCTACACCTTGAGCCACTCCATCAGCCCTTTTTTCTGATGGGTTTGTTCAAGATAGGGTCTCGTGGAGTATTTACCCAGGCTGGTTTTGAACTGTGATCCTCCTGCTCTCAGCCTCCTGAGTAGCTAGAATTACAGGCGTGAGTCACCTGGCACTTGGCCTAATGCTGTCTTCTTGAGACATTTTTGTTTGCTAGTGTTGAAAAGCTTTGTAATGGCACTAAACATGCCTTTGTGGGAGGGAGAATATTATCAAAGTACTTCATGCACATGCGTGAAAATAGAATAATTAAACCCATTAAAAAGGGGGGTAAGGAAGAGTAGTAAAGGGGGTGAATTTAATCAAAGCACATTGCATGCATGTATGGAAATACCACAGCAAAACCCCTTTGTACAGTTAATTTATGCTTGAAAAAAGTGTAACTAAGTCAGGTGCCAGTCACTCATACCTGTAATCCTAGCAACTCAGGAGGTGAGAGCAGGAGGATCACAGTTGGAAGTTTGTGAGACCCTATCTTGAAAAAAAATCACAAAAATGGGTTGGTGGAGTGGCTTAAAGGGTAGGCCCTGAGTTCAAATCCCAGTCCAAAAAAATGTATAATACAAAAAAAAATGGCTTTGCACGCTAGGTCCTCAGACTTTTTGAATTTTCCCCTCCCATTCTTGATTGACTGTTGGGAGTGACAAGCTTGGAGCTGGGCTCGAGGCTGTTGTGATGGGGCTGCTTTCTCTCCTCAGTCACCACATGGAAATCCTTCTGCTTTTCAGCTCTCAGAATCCCTCGCTTCTCGAGGCAAAGCAGCTCTGCAGCGTAGTTCCAGATTTCTAAAGGAGAGCAGCAGCCTGGGCAGAAGGTGGCAAGGTCAGTATGCACATAGTCTGGGTCCATATGCATGGATGCAAGCAAAGCCCTGAGCACCTCAGAGGACTGTCCCCTTTCTTGGAGCAACTGGAAGCCTCACTTGTCTTTGTTACATTACATTCTAGTTTCCTGTCACCCAGTACAGTTTTGAATGTTATCTAGGGGCATCACTTACTTGGGTGTGCATGCCCCTCCATCTTTAAGCCTTCCTTGATGGTCAAGTGCCCCACTTGTTGCCTGAGCTTGGAGCTGTCTCTGTCAAACTGGTGTGTGCTGGGATATCTTTGATTGCAGATGCTCTTCTCTTTGTCTCATGATTTCAAGTTCCTTAAAGAAATACATTTGATGCTTCTTTTATCTTTCTCCCAGGGTGAGTACCAAGTTAGACTTTTTCAAAATTGATTCATGAACTTTTCAAAAAATACCTATATAGTATAATGTGTCTTAAAACTTTCAAGAAGCAGTTACTGAGCATGTGTTAAGAGCTATTCAGTAAGCATAACACAAGATGCACCAGAAATCTGTTGTAAAAGAAACAACATAGGCATACCATTTTTCATAGTATACAGTGTGATTTTCACAGTAACATATCAAAAACATCAAGACTTCCCCTACAAGAGTAATAGTGGACGTGGTTAAGCCATTTCCCTTTAAACTATGTCCAGAACTAGTACTGGCTCCTTCCATTGCTATCTGAACCAAAGGCTTGAATGTGTGCATTATTTTTTTATGAATGACAATTTAGAATTTTTGTTGTCATCCAACAGTGTAGCTAAATATCAGGCTCAATTACAAACTCCAGGATCAATGCTGGTGGGCTTTGGTTTCAGTTTACACAAGTAAAGGTACTTTGTAAGGTATGAAATTGTAAATTTCCCGGCAATTAAAATGTCATAGTTGAAGTATGTGTTCAAAATCCAGACATAGTTGTATATTATGAACAGAAAATTTAAAAGTCAAAGCTTCAATTGATTAGCATTGATTAGACTTGAAGGAAGTTGAGTGGAGTCCCTGTAGGGTGTTCAGAAGGGAACAGAAAGGGATGGAAAGTTGGACAGGGAACCCGAAGGAAGATTCCCAGGAAGGAGCCCACATTGGGGGTTTGAGAACCTGTAGAAAAAGGTGGCCAAGATTCCAGTGTGGTTTGGAAGCTAGAGAGTCTGATTGAGACTGAGTGATTTAAACATTTCTTTACCCTTGAGTTCTAATAAATTTGCTCATGAACTTCAAGAAGAAATAGTAGTGAAAAAAGCAAGAAGCAAAGTAGAAAACACTATTGATCAAACTGAAAACACTCTCCTAATTTCTGTAATGAATAGTGCTAAGCTTTCCTGGAAAAACCTTCAATACTGGGATGTCTGTAGAAAGCTCTGAATTCTCAGATGACTGAGGAATGATAAAGAAAACTGTTGCCTAGAGAACATGTCAGCAAGCTAACCTGAAAGGGAACACTTTTCCCATTTAACCAGGTGTTACACTGAAGCTGAATATATTGAAAAACTCGACAAACAGATTTCAAGAGAATGCAGATAAAATGATCAGGCAGACCAATGAGTCCTTCCTGATACTTAGAGAGACTCCTGAAGGTAAGTAGAAAGGCTGTTCTGGATTTAATTCATGTCTTCTCATTGTGTAAGTATTACACAAGAACATGAGGAAATCCTGCCTGGAGTCTAACTAGGAGCGCTTGCTCAATGATGAACTGACTTTGATCAAGCAATGGGACATGATTTGGAATTGAAGATCCCTGAGGAATAACTTCAGAACAACTCCTAAGAACAACTCTTAAGAACAAGTGCCGTAGCCAGATGCCAGTGGCTCACGCCTGTAATCCTAGCTACTCAGGAGGCAGAGATCAAGAGGATCGAGGTTCGAAGCCAGCCCAGGCAAATAGTTCTTCGAGACCCTATCTCGAAAATCCCTTCACAAAAATGGGGCTGCTGCAGTGACTCAAGGTGAAGGCCCTGAGTTCAAGCCCCAGTCCTGCAAAAAAAGAAAAAAAAAGAAGTGCCTTGGGCTAGGTCCATAGCTCAAGTGCCAGAGCACTTGCGTAGCAGGCATGGGCTCCTGGATTCAATCCCTAGACCAAACAATGCAGAAAACTCCATTGAGACTTCACCCCATCTTCTTAATTACTTACTTTAAAGATGGTCTTGACACCTCTCTTAGACTAAAGAAGGGCTGATCAAAGACGTGGAGGAGTTGAGAAGATTGAATATGTTTTGCCTGCTTCAGGGAGAATGCCAGATCCATTATATAGATGTGAAAAATTAGAGAATTATTGTTTGGTAATCTTCCTTCCTGAGGCAAGGAAGCTGATCACTTTAATATTGATGGCTTGGAAATGCACTATTCATTAAATTTTAAATAGGGTAATTTTTATTTTATTTTTTATTTCTTGGTAGTACTGTGATTTGAACTCAGGACCTCATGCTTGCTAGGCAAGTGCTCTTCCACTTAAGCCACACCCCAGCCTTTTTTTTTTTTTTTTGCTTTAGTTGTTTTTCAGATAGGGTCTTAGCCTTGAACCTTGATCCTCCTCAGTCCTCCTACCTCTGGCCTCCTGCATAGCTAGGATGACAGGTAAGCACCACCACACCTGGCTTATTCTTTGAGATAGGATCTCACTAATTTTTTGTGTGGGCTGGCCTTAAAGTGGGATCCTCCTCTCTCCACCTCCTGAGTAGCTGTGATTATAGGTCTGAGTCACTGTGCCCAGCCTTCAATAGGATAGTTTTTAAAGTATGATACAAAAGAATTGTGCTGAGGTGTGCTATTTACATCACCTCAGACTTCTCCATTGTTCTTCAGACACACTCCTTACACATGGTCCCAGAAGCTCAAAGTCTGCAGTGTAGACATTACACAGGGAAGCAACACTTAGGGTGCAGTGGGCTTACGTCTTAACTTGAATCAGTGAGTATTTTATGTTCTGGAAGTTTCTTCTTCCTTTTTTTTTTCAAGGATAATTTGGTGTACTTTGATAAAATGCTTAAGTTTTTGTTTAGAAGTATTTTAAACTTATAGAAAAGGTGCAAGAAGAGTGAAAAGGACACTTGTATACCTTTGTTCAATGTCTTCCAGTATTACCGTTTTGCCCCGTGACTTCACTTTTCTTGACGGGGTCAGCAGAGCATATAACATGCAGGATTCCTATTTGCCATTGAAAAACAAGAACCCCCACTTGGTGGCCAGCAGTGAAGATTACCGTAACATGTTTCTGTGTAACATTACATTTATTGTACTTGTACACTCCTGTCAGAGGGTCTCTCCAGGATGCATGCTTGTGTACACGTTTATTTTAGGTGGAAGAGACAAGAAAAGCAAAACCAAAGAGCTGGCCATGTCTGCCAACCAGAGTGCAGTGAGAACGCTGAGAGACGTGGTGGGACTGAGCCAGAAGCTGTTTAACACATCTGCTGACCTGTCCAGAATGAACGCTACATTACGAGAGACAAATGAACTTCTGCGCGACTCCACAGCAACCAGTACGTCAGTGGGCTCCCTTCCAGTTACAGATGTCTGCACCGTGCAGATTAGGAGCCTGCTGCGTGCACGATGGTGCCTTGCACAAAACAAGCATGCACCCATCCTGGATTAGCATTTATGAAAAAAGAGAAGGCACTGAGGACCACCTTGCCGGTGCATTTTCCATGTATTTCTCATGGTTCAAGGGTCAGATTACTAGGATGTCCGGTTTTATCCAGTGCATTAGTAATGAATGATTTATTCATCTTTTCCTCTTCCCTAACTCTCTTGCCTTCTTGCCTTTGTTAGCTCTGTTGGCAGGAAGAAAAGTTAAAGACATGGAAACTCAAGCCAACCTTTTATTTGACCGATTGAAGCCTTTGAAGACACTGGAAGAAAACCTGAGCAGAAACTTATCAGAAATTAAACTGCTGATCAGCCAGGCTCGGAAGCAGGCAGCCTCGGTGAGTGGGGGCTCGTGGCCAGGCAACACCCACATGCCAACAGCCTGGTTTCTCAGTGACCCAGGCTGCAGAGAATTCCTCCGGAATTGGCACACTGTGACAACACAGGCTCCCCAAGGACTTCTGCAGGCCCACACCTCAAATATCCCTGCTTCCTCCTGGCCTTGTCTTTGTGTATCTAAAGCCAATAAGTAACCTCGTTTTCTTTTGAGTTCTGCTTGTATTAAACACGTTTCTGAAAGCAAGTTGCTCTGCATGTTTCTGGAGATTTATAATTAGAGCCTAACGTTAGCCTAGACAGTGGAGAAGACATGAAGTCTAAGTGTTAGTATCACTCTGCGTTCATTGTTGCATGGGGTTCTGGTTCTCCATTTTACCAGTTTGATTTTACTAATACATGTAAGTCCTCTGGAGGATGTGCGTTTGGGTCTCGCCCTCCGAGAGTCTGCACAGGTGTCTACACAAATCCTCATCACCAAATGCGTAGAACATTGACACCCAGAGAAGTTCAAAGCTGAGAAAATGTGAGCCTAGTGCAGTTGCTCAAGCCTGTAATCCTAGTTACTCAGGAGGCAGAGATCAGGAGGATCATGGTTTGAGGCCAGCCCAGGCAAAAAATCTGTGAGACTCCACTTTAACCAATGACTAGGCACAGTGGTATGCATCTGTCATCCCAGCTAGGTGGGGAAGCGCAAATAGGATTGTAGTCAGGACAAGAGGGCATAAAGCAAGACCCCATCTCAAAATAACCAATGCAAAAGGACTGGCAAAGTGGCTCAAGTGGCAGAGCACCTGCCTAGCAAGTGCAAGGGCTTGAGTTCAAACCCCAGTAACACCAAAAAATACAAAAAGCAAATTGGAGAAAATGCTTTCGAGCCACTCATGGCATGTGACTCTGGCTTTGCTGTAAAGAGAGGGGTTTCAAGCAAATGGTAAGAGTTTCAAAATAATGTAGGGTCATCATGCTAGCAGGCCCTGGAGAGATGAATGTGACCTCTGTCTTACGTTAATCCTCCTGAAGCTTTGTAGGCAAGAGCAGGAGGTCTGGGTTCTCCATTTTCTGCCCAAGAGTCTTCACAATTGGAAAATGATGCAGGTTTACATGACCTCTGGCTTTTACCTGTTATAGTTACAGTCACTAAGTAAATGGAAGTCCAAGGGACAGGTCCAAATGCCATGGTTAATACAATCTCAGAATCATTAAGGTTAATTTAAGACATATATGATATTATTATTAACCAAAGAAATATGTCATAAGTGAGTAATTACTCTATAAATATTTACTGAGCGAGTATATAACTTTGACAAATGATCACCAAATATCCTTTGTGGGTTAGATGGACAGATTCCTAGGTGATAAGGTCCTTGTCTTTAGGGAATTAAGTCTCATGTAACTGAGACAGCTTCCTAAATAAAATACCTTTTAAAAACTAATTTAACTAACTTTCCTGTATTTAAGCTCTTTACCAAGTGCAGTCATTTTCGTCAGAGCTGGATTTCCCACTTTATGAAACCCAAAACCTTGTATATGGCAAGAGAGGAAACTTTGCCTCACAGTGGAAGTTGGAGTAGCATCTTCAACCTTCTGGGAGCTGCCACTGTGTGTCACTAAATGATGACACTTTTCTGTTCCTTCTCAGATTAAAGTTGCGGTGGCTGCAGACAGAGACTGTATCCGGGCCTACCAGCCTCAGATTTCTTCCACCAACTACAACACGTTGACACTCAATGTCAAGACACAGGAACCTGACAACCTTCTCTTCTACCTGGGTGGCACCGGCGTAAGTGAGAGTGAGCACAAGTGTGTATGAACAGAGGTAGTTCCACAGTCAACATTTTTTTGTAGGGTTTTGTGAAATCTCTAATTCCTCTGCAGGGAACAACCTTTGCCAAAATGGTGGTAGCATTAGATTGAAAATAAGCTACAAAAGTGACATTTCTAAATAATGCCTCGCTTCTGCCCTCTTCATTGCTAGTTGCAGGAGTGGCACTTCACCTGATGTCCAGTGACCCTGAGGTGACGAGTACCAGACTTGTCAGGCATCAAGCATCACCCCTGCTTTTCCCGTCACCGGAATTCCCATGGCTCCCAGGGGGCGAGTTCCCCACAGAAGACCATCAACCCTTTGACTTTATCAGGGAGAAGGGGTCAGAACCCTTGAGGATGTTAGGGTAGAAAGCAGGTGCCATGCTGTGGGATGTTGTGACACCTGTCTTGCTATGTATTTCACATCCGGTTATTACCTTCTGACACCAGGCAAGCAAACAAGGCAGGGCTTTCCCTCAGGCTTCTGGGGCTGTGTGGCCCCTGTCCAGTGTTCCTGGGAACGCATGGAGGACCGGGGCAGCTGAGGGTGGTAAGGCACTAGTGCCTGAGCTGGCCTCTGGTCTCAGGACTCCAGCCTGTGCTTCAGTCCCAGGGAAGGGGACATTTATGGACACAAGAAGAAGGTCTTTGGGGCTGGAGATGTATCTTAGTGGCAGAGAGCTTGCCCAGCAGAAGGCCCTGTATTCAATCCCCAGCTCAGGGAAGAAAAAGAAAAGACGATGGCCTTTTAGTTTCTGCTTTTTTTTTTTTTCTTTAAAACACTTTAAAGTGTTTTGGTGACCATGTAAATAACAGTGTGTAAACCCTTCTCCACTCATGTCCTCGCCTCCAGTCTGATTTCATGGCGGTGGAGATGCAACGGGGAAAAGTGGCCGTCCTCTGGGATCTGGGATCTGGGTCCACACGGCTGGAATTCTCAGACGTCTCCATTGATGACAACAGATGGCACAGCATCCACGTCACCAGGTAGCAGAGAAAACGCCTCAGAGCGTCGCTCTTGTCTTTGTGTCTTTATGCGTGGCTGTAGCATCAGCTAATGAGTAGGCTTCGAAGCTTCTGGAAAGTTGGATTCTAATCAAAGAATCCTTGGTTTACATTGACTAAGGGAATAAGGCTGTTTTTCTTATGACAGAAGAAGTAACTTTTGTTATCAAAATCAACAGTAGAAAGAATCGTAATATTAAAAGTTTCGATGACTTTTATAAAGTTGTTTTAGGAGGTATAAGCCCAAGGCACCAGCCTGGTAACTTACTCCTCCCAGTGAAGAGGAGAAGTGCCTGGGAGGAGTTCTCGGGCCTGCAGTAGACGAGGACAGATGAGGGTGCAAGTGAGAAATGTATGTTCTCAAAATTTAGACACAAAGCCAAATTCCTCCTTTCAAATCCCCTTCTCCAGAAGTAACCACTTGTCACCAGCCTTAGGTATATCATTCTTTTCACTTTTCTGGAATATTACAGATGTTGATGAGAATTTTCTTCTTCATTATTTACAAAAATGGTGCAATATTCAAGGTAGTAGGTTATCTTTAAGTAGAATAACTACTTTAAGCACACAATAAGATGATGAAATGGATGTTTCCCAAAATCTACTCTACAGGATTTTGTAGAAGTAAATGAGAGGTGACGTGGGCAAGGCTGGAAGCAAGGAGGCCAGGTGGGGGCTGTCGCAGGAGACATGGGAGAAGCAGAGGGGATTATGCGTAAGACATGCATGTGTACGTGCGTGATGGTATCCCACCCTGAAAGTCCATTTGCAATTTCTTGTGGCATAAGGTTTGGAAACACTGGTTCACTGAGTGTAAAGGAAATGGGTTCAACTCAAAAGCCACCAAGGGAAACAAGTAGATCTCCTGGGACAGCCAATGTTCTGGACATCAACAATTCAACACTCGTGTTTGTCGGGGGACTCGGAGGGCAAATCAAGGTGGGTAACTGGTTGAGGAACAGAACTGATTGGCTGATCTCATCTGTATGTAAAATGATATGCTGAAAGTGTTAAATATACTCTAGGAAAATGAAGAATTTTCTCTTTTTATTGTTTCGGGTTATGGCAGCTCACCTGAAGAGCTGGGCTGGCTTTGAAGGCTACAGGATCCTGTTTAATCACTGGTATAAATGGAGAAGGAGCGAAGGGCTCAGTTTGCTATTTGAAATTCTTTTCCAGTGATGCCATAGGAAGTTCAATATTCTATATTTCTGTAAAGCTTTTTTATCTCTATCCTAACTCTAGTGCTAGAAATACTAGATCGTGTTTAGCAAAAGAGGGCATCATGTTTGGGCTGGAGATGTAGCTTAGTGGTAGAGTGTTTCCTAGCATGCATGAGGCCCTGGGTTCAGTCCCTAGTACTGCAAAAAAAACAGTGCATCATGTTTATTTTACTGTATCAGTAATGTTCTTGCCAAATAAGGTGGAGTTATTTGGACTTGGTTCAGTGCTCTGAAGTGAAAGGCTTCTGTTCCAGCTTAGCCCCTACTACTAACTTCTTTAAAGGGGCCTCTGTCCAGCCACCCTAGCAGTGGAGATGATCTGTAAGATCCTGTGTGTTAGTCACTCATTCTGCTCTTAACTGAAAGGAAATCCAGTTGTTACAAATCAGCTGTTTTCTTGAATACTGTTTTCTTAATATTTGGATCCACACCACTTGACGTGGGCAAAGTCCCCCGCACTTAGAGAATTTATTCCTGTATGCCAACTACATGTGGGTATCTGTTTGGTTTTCGCCTTAGAAATCTCCTGCTGTGAAGGTAACCCATTTTAAAGGCTGCATGGGAGAGGCCTTCTTGAATGGCAGATCCATCGGCCTGTGGAATTACATTGAAAGGGAAGGCCCGTGCCGTGGCTGCTTTGGAAGGTAACGCACCCTTGTGACTTAAAACGTTATTCCGTTAACATCCAAGAACTGTTAAAGAATTATTGCACAACAGGGATAGTTTATGATATTGCATCATAAAGCAATATAAGTGATAAAGATTATTTACTAATAGAAGCTTGGTGTTTGGGTTTTTTTGTTTTTTGGTGGTACTGGGGTTTGAACTCAGAGACTTGTACTTACTAGACAGGTGCTCTATCACTAGAGCCAGGCTCCAGCCCTTTTTGCTTTAGTTGTTTTTGGATAGGGTCTCGAGTTTTTTTTTTTTTTTTTTTTTTTTTTCTAAACCAGGATTGACCTGGACTCCACTTCTCTTATTTATGCCTCCCGCATAGCTGGGATCACAGGTATGCACCACTACACTTAGCTCATTGGTAGAGATGGAGTCTTGCTAACTTTTTTCCTGGGCTGCCTCAATCTTCCATCCTCCCAATCTCTATATGCCAAGTAGCTGGGATTATAGGCATGAGCCACCCATGCCTGGCTTTTGAGTTATTTTTGAACCTTGAATGGGATGTTCCCTTTTTCTTGCTTTGTCTTGTGTTGTATTCTTTGATTATGGATCATAAAATCTAGACAGTTATAAGTCCTAGGCAAATCACTATACATTTTATTCTGAAAATCTCTTCAACAATGAGAATTTTGGTGTATGTTGATTTTTATAGATAAGTACTTTCCTATTTCTAACCAAATTCTGTATTTCTGGAAATGGAGACAGCTGACATCTTTTTGCATTTATTGATGTAATAAAAGGAATTTAATAGTTTCATCTCACTGAGCCCCACACCTCCTTTGGAACAAAATAACTACATCACCTAATATATAGACGATAAAAGGGCTGGTAGAGTAGGTCAAGCAGTAAAAGTGCCTGCCCAGCGAGCGTGAAGCCCTGAGTTCAAACCCCAGTGCTGCCAAGAAAAAAGACAATATATTGCCTTTTCCATTAGAAAACTGTAACACCTGATATATATTATCCTACATAAGGGTTGCTGTGTCCAGATACAAATCTGTAATTAACAATGAGTGTGACAAGATCAGTTAGAAGCACCTCTTAAATTTAGAAACTCGTGGGTGAGTTTTCATTGTCTGGCCTGCTTTGGGATTTTATAATTTAAATTTTTTGTCTGCTGCTTTCCCCTCTCTTAGTTTGCTCAGAAAGTTATACCCAGAGGCAGAAGCCAGCGTGTACCTGTAATCCTAGCTACTTAGGAAACTGAGATCAGGAGGATTGCAGTTCAAGGCCAGCCCAGGCCAAAACAAAATCGAAACTCTATCTCAAAAATAACTACAGAAAAAAGGCCTGGAGGTGCAGCTGAAGCAGTAGAGTACCTGCCCTGAGTTCAAACCTCAGTACTGCCAAAAAATAAAATAGAGGAAAAAAAATTCATGACCAAAAGAATCTTGGTTATTGCAGCCTCAGGGCTTAAAAGAAGATTGGTTTGAAATAAAAGTTTTTTAGGCTCCTAGCCCAGGTCTTCTACCACATTTTTGGGGTGACTTAGATTGATTTGTCTCCTTACCTCACTATGGTCTGATTTCTTCTTCCAGAAAAATAAAATGCTAATCATTCTTGTCTTAGCCACCTCCCAAAATAATTGTGATGTACGTGAAAATATAAACGTGAAACACTGCTGTGATATGCATTTCTGGTCTTTAGCGGTGATGTATTGCTTCTAGATAAACGTTTCAGGATTACTGTCTGTACAGTAAATGTGGGGTGAAACCTAGGTTTTGACATTATAAATACAGTTTCTAAAATGCTGTAACCATTTGAGGTAATGCACTTGCTTCCAGAACTTGAGCAGAGTGACCGCATGTGCTCTGCTCTGTGATCTCTCACTTTTTCCTTATGTCATGAGTGTAGCAAGGAAGTCTTCCCAGCAATCGTGTAATTCTAACATGAAAAGGCTCTAACCTTTAGAGTCTTTCTCCTCCACTTTAACGAGTTTAACCATGAGTGCTGACTCTTCTCCTTCCATTGGGGTGACAAAGTCCATTTTCTCTGTGACTTCTGGTTTTGTTCTCTCTGACACACCTGCCCTCCCACCAGGTGAAGAATGAGGAGGTCAGGGTCTGGCTTTTCTGCTGAGGACTGGCCATCCAGCTGGGCTGTGGGCCAAATGGACTCACTGATTCAGTCAGCCTAGGGTAAACCCAGTATGTTTTGTTTGGCACCAAACAGATCAGCTGGCCATTCTTGTACTGTATGGACCAAGGCTTCCAAGAATGCATGGTGGTGAAGACCAGCTCAGTAGGATATGACTAGATACTCTTTTTTTTTTTTTGAAGCAGCAGTAGAAGGTATGTTTGGAAAATGCTGCTACAAAATCAAACATGTTTCTTTGGTGTGAGATGGTCACAGATTTTAATTAACCCCTGCCCCAGTTCCTGACTCACTTTTGAAGAGTTCATTGGGAACTGCTTATGTTGCATGGACAGTATACACACTAACTGGTACCCATGTCTGTGTTTACAAACTGACTTCATTTTAGGTAGCCCCTACTACTAAACAAAACCTTTTGCTCAGAGAGTTAATAACTAATGCTTCACACAATCCATTTTAGCAAACCTTGGAACTCAATGTGCTTTTTAATTTTGTGTGTATTAGGTCATTGATGTGGTTTGTTGATGTCCAGCAGGTTTTTAAAAAAGTGAATGTTGATACTTACATTCACTTGTATCTTACCAAGCAAATAAATTGAAATTGTTTATTCCTCTATGAATATATTACTAGACTGCCTTACACAGTGTGCATGTGTTTATAATTATAAACAGTAATCCCTTAAGCTTTTAAAGGCTATTACAGATTTAACCACTGATTCTAACAGTTCTCACTGAAATAAATGTGGGAAACCTTGCATTTTATTACTAGACAGCTGACTTTTGGTGAGCTCACCTGTCCTGGTCCCCATCCTGGGTACTGGTGATATCAGCATGGCCACACAAGTTTATCGCCTCAAATATCCCATCGTCTAGAAAAAAACACCTGCAGAGAAACAGAAAGTCTCTGCCACTGTCCCTGTCTGATGGATGAAGGGAATGGAGCACAGAGAAGTTAGATAACTTGTCCAAGTTCACACAGCTAGTAAGCTGGGGAGCTAGGATTTGAACCCTGGTAATCTACCACTGATGCTGATTGGCCAAGAGTCAGAGCCATGGAAGGGACATGCTTCTACACAACCACACACTTAAAGGCTTAATTCAGGACGTAAGAATGAAACCAGGGACTTTTAAGAACATATGCATTTCCTTTAAGCCGTGCTTCCTAAAGAAATGGCAAAATGGCAGTTTTTGAAATGCAGGAAATGAGAGCTGCTGCTCCACAAAACTGTGCTGGTTTTTGTTTGGTTTTGGTTTTGTGTCACTGGGAACAGTTTCACTGAAGGTGTGAAACTGAGTTTGATTGTGACACTTTCAACTGGGAAAAGTTCCAATTCCTACCCCAACCACCCCCCTCCACGTTTCACTGTGTAGGCCTACTATACCCTAGGGAGGTGTTTTTGAGAGATCACCCATGTTCCATGAGTAACATGTAACATGTAACATCATGTTACAGATGAATTATTTCATAATTGAATCGTGAGTCCGGTCTGACTTTTAAGGTTTGTGGGGAGAAACGCAGGAAACCCACTTATCTTAAAAGTGCTGTAGCTCATGTTATGGGACTCTGCCGAAAGCCGTACACCCGCCCTGGATGTGACACTCCCTACACTCAATCAGCGGGTTTCTGAGGATGTCACTGATTTTTTTTAATATATAAAATGGCCCTTCCAGTATATGGACACATACTTATTTTCCATTGTAACTCAGAAGAGAATACAACATTCTGACATAAAAGCTTTCCTCTGAAAGCATTGGAAGTTAGAAAGGAGTTACATTAAAGAAACTAGAACAGCTACGGATAGCATCACACACCTGTAATCCCAGCACCCAGGAGGCAGAGGCAGGGAATCCCAAGTTCCAGGTCAGCCTGGACTACATAGTATGGGGGAGACCATGTCTCAAAAAAAAGAAAGGAAATTAAAACAAGTAAAGAAGAAGTTTTCTGCTGGCTCAGTAGGAATGTTTATAGTGGTTATCTTCCTGTGAAGAAATTTCATCTTACTGCCATAACTCCGCCTGTATTAACTTTTCTTCATGAAGCAGGCAGGCGTTTGTCCTCATATTCTCATGGCTAGGTTATTTTCCAGTACAGGTTGAGCATCATCCATTATTTGAAATGCTTAGGATCAGACCTGTTTCAGATTTAAGATGTTTTTGGATTTTGGAATATTTGCACATACATAATGAGAAACCCATAATGGTGTCCGAATTGAAACATGAATTCCCTTTTGTTTTTTTGGATTTTTCTGTTGTTGTTGGTTTTGGTGGTATTAGGGTTTGAACTCAGGGCCTACACCTTGAGCCACTCCACCAGCCCTGTTTTGTGAAGAGGTGTTTTTTTGAGATAGGGTCTTAAGAGCTATTTGCCCAGGCTGGTTTTGAACCACGATCTTCCTGATCGCTGCTTATTGAATAACTAGGATTACAGGCGTAAGCCACCTGTGCCTGGCTCACTTTTGTTTCTTTTTTTTTTTTAATTTTATTATTCATATGTGCATACAAGGCTTGGGTCATTTCTCCCCCCTACCCCCACCCCCTCCCTTACCACCCACTCCGCCCCCTCCCTCTCCCCCCTACCCCCTCAATACCCAGCAGAAACTATTTTGCTCTTATTTCTAATTTTGTTGTAGAGAGAGTATAAGCAATAATAGGAAGGAACAAGGGTTTTTGCTGGTTGAGATAAGGATAGCTATACAGGGAGTTGACTCACATTAATTTCCTGTGTGTTTGTGTTACCTTCTAGGTTAATTCTTTTTGATCTAACCTTTTCTCTAGTTCCTGGTCCCCTTTTCCTATTGGCCTCAGTTGCTTTTAAGGTATCTGCTTTAGTTTCTCTGCGTTAAGGGCAACAAACTTTTGTTTCTTATACACCTTAAGACTCTTGTACACAATATTCTTAATGATCGTGTGTGGTTTCACAGTGTGGAGTTGTCCACCTGTGGTTCATGAGACAGTAGAGCATTGGGATTTCAGGTGTTCAGAGGAAGGACACTCAGCCGCATCACCAGGTGATGGGAGTGACGCTGTGCCATGCTGGGGAGGAGAGCTCAGCAGATGGTCGGCTGTCACTCCCCTTACTTTCCCAGAGCTGATGGGTTCCAACTTCTGCTTTGCAGCCCCCAGAATGAAGACTCTTCCTTCCACTTCGACGGGAGCGGGTACTCAGTGGTGGAGAAGACACTGCGGGCCACTGTGACGCAGATAACCCTGCTGTTCAGCACCTTCTCGCCCAACGGGCTGCTTCTCTACCTGGCTTCAAATGGCACCGTAAGAATTGGATGGGCCCGAGCCTCTGCGGGGCCATTTACATCGCGGTGGGGAGGCTGTGGCTTGTGTGCATTTGCTGATAGGACGTGTGCACTTGTGTGCTGTGTGGTTCGTCTGGGAACACCATATGGTTTCCCACCAAACACCAGTTACTTGTTGTATCAGTACAAATCCATGAAGAACCTTTGGGAATCCAGAATGGCACCAAGTAGAAATGTACTGCCACTATAGATGTCAAACTCTTGTTACTAGTTTTAGTCCAAATATTGTCTTGATTTTCTTTTTTCTTTTTGCAGTACTGAGGTTTGAACTCAGGTCTACACCTTGAACCATTCCACCAGCCCTTTTTTGTGAAGGGTATTTTTGAGATGTAGTCTTGCAGACTATTTGTCTGGGCTGCCTTTGAACTGCGATCCTCCTGATCTCTGCCTCCTGAGTAGCTAGGATTACAGGAGTGAGTCACAAGCACCAGTTCACAATGACCATTTCATTGCTGGTCATTTCTTTTTCTTTCCTTCTTTCTTTATTTTTTACAGTACTGAGGTTAGAACTCAGGGCCTCTTGCTTGCTAGGCAAGCACTGTACCATTTGAGCCACACCCCCAGCACTCTTTGCTTTAGCTATTTTTTTGAATAGGGTCTCAAATTGAGGTTTTGCTCAGGTCAGCCTGGGACTGTGATCCTCTTACTTCTCCCTCCCACATAGCTGGGATTGTAGACATGCACCATTGTGCCCAGCTTGTTTTGGAGGTAGATCTCACTAACTTTTGCCCCAGCTGGCCGCAAACTGCAATCCTCCCATCTCCACTGCTCACGTAGCCGGCATTACAGACACGCTCCACCACACCCGGTCTATGTTGATCATGTCTGTCTCTCAATCTTCAAGTTTTGTTTGTTGGGACTGGCCCCCTTCTCAGTCAAAATGAAAAAGATACAAGTTGATTCCAGTCATCTTACTGAATTGTGGATTTCGTGGTAGTGAACAGCAGCTCATTTATATCCAGGTAGTGCTCTAAAACACCACCATAGAGCAGCCCTGTATCGGGCCAGACCCAGTTCTCCCAGGCTGACTTTAGAAGGTTCTACCATCCCTGCCTAAGGGAAAAGAAGCCATGGGTAAAGGATCTCCGTTCTCTTCTTTTCAGAAAGACTTTTTGTCTATCGAGCTGATCCATGGCAGAGTTAAAGTGATGGTTGACCTGGGCTCAGGCCCTCTCACTCTCATTACGGATAGACGGTACAACAATGGAACCTGGTACAAAATCGCCTTCCAGAGAAACCGGAAGCAGGGTAGGTGCATGATGGACTCTCCTGATATCAGTTGCCCTCATCAGAACAGATATCCCTCCAAAATCAGAAGCCTTAATTCCAACTGTAGCTTTCTGGGTGTTCTTGGATGATATTCTAGTCCACCACCTTCACTACTTAGCCACAATGACCTTTGACCTTTTGAACAAGTTTCAAATTGAAAGCCACCACTGTCCTTAGAATAGGAAGCTGTGGGGTTCTTGTTCTGTAGAAGGAATGCTACAATTGTATTTCACATTAAATGTAGGTTGGAACCAAGAATTTTCTTTTCTTTGGCACACCTGCTGCTATCACTTAGCAATGTGTATTCTGGATTTACTGACTTGTGAGGATTTCCACATGTCCTGTAATAGTGACGAGCATCAGCTGGTCAAAATTTAAAACAATATGTCTTTGCAAATGAACTTTGTTGGCAGAAGTTTTGTGTTTTCTGTAACACAGAAAGTGATTCTTACTTTCTCTCTTCCTTTTAGGACTCCTGGCTGTTATTGATGCATATGACACTAGTGACAAAGAGACCAAGCAAGGCGAGACACCAGGAGCTGCCTCTGACCTCAATCGACTAGATAAGGACCCGATTTACGTGGGTGGCTTGCCCCCGTCAAGAGTCATAAGGTAGGGCCGGGATGTGCCTAGCATGTGCAAGTCTCCAGCTCTGGTCACCAGCACCGCCAAAAAGGTCGGGGGGCGGGGATGAGAGAGTTGCATGAAATCACGCAGGATTTTCACGTCTCAGTTATTAACTGTATCAGTTTGCTAGGGCTGCTGTTAACAAGCACCGCAAACAACAGAAATGTGTTCTTTCCCATTACGAGGCTCTGAGTCCAAAACTGAGGTGTGGGCAGGGTTGTTTCCTTGTGAGGGCTGTGGAGTGAATCTCTTCCAAACTCCAGCTTCTGATAGCTTCAGGCATTCTGTACTTTGTAGATGGTGTCTCTCCCCTATGGCTTCATGTTGTCTTTCTTCTGTGCCCTTGCCACCACGCTGTGTTCAAATTTGTCCTTACACTAGTCATACTGGTGATAGGCCCATCCAATGACATCATTGTAGCTGGATTATCTCTGCAGGGACCCTGTTTTCATGTAAGGTCACATTCAGGGGTGCTGGTGGTTAGGATGGCAAGGTCTTTTAGGGTGACAACCCATACTGTTACCTTTATTCTAAGTACTATATGCATGTTTGTTGAGAAGTAAAGCAAGCCTTCTGCAGAAAGATTCTTGGTTTTGTATTTATTACATTTAGAACATTTAAAAACTCTTACTGTGTGATATTTGGAGATTCTTCTTCCTGACACACTCCATTCTCCTCTCTAGATAATTTAATGTGGTAGAATCATGTTCATGCTTTCTATAGACTTCTCTGCCTCCCCCTTCATGTGACTGCAATGAATAATGTATGTGAAAGTTGAAAGACCACCACCAGGCAGTCTGATGAGAGGTGGTGGAGGAGGGAAGCCATGGATGCTTTTATAGCACTGATTGATGCTTAGCTTTGTGACTTTAATGACTTACATAAACTTGTCATGGTTTATTGTCCTCAGTTTTGTGATCTTAGTTTGGACAAATTAAGTTCGAAGTTTCTTTCACACTTTAAAGAACAGTCATATACGAAAGGCCAGGAGTGAAGGCAAGACAGAGTCTAAAGAGTGGACATCAAGTGTCCACTGGGCCCCCCAAGCCCCAGAGGACCTCAAATGTGCATTAGAGCTGTGCCCTGTCTTTAGGCCAAGTTCTTTCTACAGTGTCTTCATTTGTGGCACAGAAGCACAGCCTTTGCATATGCAGTGGAGGAGTAGCCCATATCTTCCACCTTTCTCTTTGTTAGAAATCTCTAAAAGTTCCATTTAACCTCAAGGAAGTCTGTCACTTGTTATGTGTTACCTTTCTGCTAAGACAGTGTCTCCACCAATAGCATTCCCTGCCACTATGGGACCAGTGTGTCCCAACAGCCACAGCTGTGACATAGTTTATCTGCACTTTGCCTAACTGGCACACAATATAGATCCTGGAGGAAAGGACAAGCCCAAGTGACAAACATTCGTGGTACAAAGGACTTGGGTGCCATCCAGGCCAACACCCACATTTATATCACCAGAAACAGATCTAGAAGGGAGACATTTGCCTAATCATGTAGCCACTAAATGGTCCACAACTCTTTTTCAACACAGAGTAACCAGGTAGGGTGACTGTACCAAGAAGCTGTGTGACCTCACAGTGCTCCTGTCATGCACTGATGCATGGGAGAACAGTGCAGAGGTGCTTGGTCCCCATATTTTGGCAATGAGAGCCTAACCACATTGCAGCCTGATCCCAGTCAGGAGTAGGGAAGACAAATATGGAATGGACTTGGAGAATAATTAATAGGGCTGTGGATAATCCCAGACTTCACCAGTTATTTCCTTTGGGACGAAGTTTGTGACTATGCAGTAAAGATAACAGCCAATGAATTCTAGCTACCTGTCCAAGGAAATGATGTCACCTGCACGTGCTCCCGTGGGAGGTGAATGTTCTACTCTGCATGGGGACTGCATTGTGATCTCTGTGATTGTAGTGACTTGTGACAGTCACTTCTTTTCTTATAACCGGCCTGTGTTCTAATGAGTGTACTTAGATTATAATGGCTGTAAGAGTTCTCTTTTAAAAAGGAAACATATTTGTACATAGGTAGCCATCACAGAGCTACACTCAACAAGTTAATCCCTTTCTCTAGCTTGGAGGAGATATTTGTTTGTTCTGAAGTTCTCACCAATGCTGTTTACTTAGGGAGGCCTAGACATTCCTGCCAAGTAATCCATGGGAATAGATTTTCCATATGTGCAGGTGCTTTTTTTTTTCTTTCAAAAATGGAATTATACAACCCAAATCCCCTTGAGGCTGTTCTCATGTCTTCCCTACAGGAAAGGCATCTCCAGCAAAAGCTATGTGGGCTGCATCAGGAACCTGGAAATATCCAGATCTACCTTTGATTTGCTTCGAAACTCCTATGGAGTGAGGAAAGGCTGTGTTCTAGAGGTGAGGATCGTTCTTCTGGATATTGGAATGAGTGTCTTTAAATGCCCATTGGTTTATCCACATAATTCGATATGACAAGATCTCAACCAGGGTGCGGTGGAAAAGAAAAGGGAGGGAACAAGCAGTCCCCTCCACCTGCAGGTGGGACCTCACCACACTCTCTCCCCCATATCCAGCCTATCCGAAGTGTTAGCTTCCTGAGAGGTGGCTACGTGGAGTTACCACCCAAGTCTTTGTCACCAGAATCTGAATTGCTGGCCACATTTGTCACCAAGAACAGCAGTGGCATCATCCTGGCTGCCTTCGGCAAGGATTCAGAGAAGCAGGGCCGGCGGCAAGCACACGTGGTGAGTACTTGTAGCTCTCTGGAGGGAAATAACTTCTGGAAACACCGAGCAGTAAATTTCTGACTCATGAACATTTGTTGTGGTTGTGTCCCCAGTTGTTTATGGCTATGCATTTTTTAATAAGTGAGAGCTATTACTGCTGAATGTTTTTTTCTGGTGATTCACTGATGTTCCATTTGCAACTAATCCATCTTCTGTGCCTGGTGGCTGAGGAAAAAGCTGTTTGCTCTCTTGTCTCTCACTAAAGCTCCTTCGATGGCACATCTGGGGTTCTCTTCCATGCCTTGTATCTGTTACTCTTCATCCTAAGACTAATCCTGTTTGGGTCAGGACTTCCTTAAAAGGAACAGAAAGGGAAATGCAGCCTGTCATAAGGACAGCAGACCAGCAGTAGGAGAGGGGAGCAATGATGATGGTTTTCCGTGTTGTTCTTACTCTATTTCAAGAGCGTTGGAGATATTTCTCTACGCTCTGCTTAAACTTGTGTCTGTCACCTAATTGGGAAAAACACTGAAGACCAGTGTGTTGACGTACTGGAGTGCAGTCCACATGCCCACTATTTATGCAGTAGTATGCTCTGTGGTGTAGGACACTCCAGGTAGATGCTGCTTCCTCTATGTTGTTAGCAAGAAATCATCCAGAGAGCTGGTTAACCTAACCAAGGTCACACAGCCGGGACTGGAACACCAGTCTGCAGACCCCAAATATGACATGAGCCACTTAGCAAAGGACTAATGATAACTGAGAATTTTTTGTGGGCTTCACTGATAGTGAAATTCATGTAACATAAAATTAGCCATTTTAAAGTGAATGATAGAATAACGTCTAGTGTTTTTGCAGTGCTGTGAAGCCACTTCCTCTCTGCAGTTCCAAACATTTTCATCACCCCAAATTAACAGTCTGTGACCAATAAGGAGTCACTTGTCACTTCCTATCCCCTCTCTCCCCACCCCAGGCAACCACCAGTCTACTGTCTCTGTCTGTGGATGGATTTACCTTTTCTGTATATTTCATGTAAATGGAATCATATGAGATGTGATCTTTTGTGGTTTTTATTTCGCACGTTTTCAAGGTTCGTCTCCTATGTAGCATGTATCAGTGCGTCGTCCTTTTTATGGCTGAATATTTTACTGTATGTGCTTACCACAGTTTATTAATTCACCCACTGATGGATATTGGGTTATTTCTGCCTTTTGGCTCTTATGTGTATATGTGTGTTTGTTTAAGTCTGTTTCTAATTCTTCCAGTCTATATCCAGGAGTAGAATTTCTGGTCATGTGGTAATTCTGTTTTCCTTTTTGAGGAGCTGACAACTGTGTTCCTTCATCAATTACTTGTGAATCAAGGATTTCTTACTAAGCCAGGAAAAAGCAATGAGATCATCCAGTGTTAGCAAGGGTGTCTTGAAACAGTCCCACTCCAGTTCTGCTGGGGCTTTGTAAATCACTGACTCTTTTCAGTGTAACAAAAAAAGTTTTAAGAACTTCAAACTTTTTAAAATTTTTTTGTGATGCTGGGGATTAAGCTCAGGGCCTCTCATTTGCTTCCCACTTGAGCTATGCCCCCAGCCCTTTTGTTTGTGTTTTAGCAAGACAGGGTCTTGCTAACTTTGCCTGGCTGGCCTTCAGCTTGTCATCCTTCCAAGTAACTGAGATTACAGGCGTGTGCCCCACACCTGGTTCAAACCCTTCCAGGTTCTTAATCATGCTTTTAGAAACATTAGAAACAGTGTCATGGGTCAAAAAAATTGTAATTAAGTGGTCACATGTATGATGTTAGAATATTATAAACATCTTACAATTTCATTAATAAGCTGAGCGTGGTGACACACACTTGCAGTTCCAGCACTTGGGAAGTTTAGGCAGGAGGATCTCTCTCAAGTTTGAGGCCAACTTGAGCTACATAGAGAGACCTGTCTCAAAACCCAAAATAGAAATTTCCTTAAAAAACAAATTACATTATAGCTATTTGTTGGAACATCTTGCAGCAGTAAACCGTGTACATGAGGTTATGAGAAATGGGAATCTTTGATACAGTTATTGATGACAACGTAATGTGGAATGTAAATTATATGAACAGAGATTAGAAAGTAATACACAAAATTTAAAATAGTTGTGACAGATGGTGAAATCCTTAAGAAACTGCTTGCTTTGTGTTAATATGCCTATTTTACCTATATAAGATGAAAAATTAAAAACCACTGACTAATGAGTTTTGTATGGGAATTGCTCTCTGCCTCCTCCCAGCCCTTCTTTTCCATCATGTTGATTGATGGCCACATTGAAGTGCACGTCAGCCCTGGGGATGGGACCAGCCTGAGGAAGGCCCTCCTGCACGCTCCCACGGGGACATATGGCGACGGACAAGAGCATTCCATCTCGTTGGTTCGGAATCAGAGGTACCGCAGCACTTGGGTGGGTGTTCGTGTCAGGAGAATAGGGTGACCTCAGGAAAACCTTGAGGATACTTAAGTGATTGGAATAATTAGTATGACAAGTTCTTGTCATTTCAAAATAATTCTAGAGACTTGCTAGAATACCTCCTTGGGAGTCAATTTTATCTACTTTGTGGTAAGATGTTTGTCAGCTTTTCAGAGCAACCATAACACCGCCCTTTACTGGGACTCAACATAAATTATATTTACATTGGATTAATTCAGTGGTAAATAATACGACAGCATTAACAGATAGTATTATATCGATTGTAAATAGCATTCTATCAGTCTTCCTGTACATTTTCCTAAAAACTGTAAACCACATTTTTTTTAAACATTGTTCAATTCATTTATTTTTTTTTCCTTTTTCTTTTATTATTCATATGTGCATACAAGGCTTGGGTCATTTCTCCCCCTGCCCCCACCCCCTCCCTTACCACCCACTCCGCCCCCTCCCTCTCCCCCACCTCAATACCCAGCAGAAACTATTTTGCCCTTATTTCTAATTTTGTTGTAGAGAGAGTATAAGCAATAACAGGAAGGGACAAGGGTTTTTGCTGGTTGAGATAAGGATAGCTATACAGGGCATTGACTCACATTGATTTCCTGTGCATGTGTGTTACCTTCTAGATTAATTCTTTTTGATCTAACCTTTTCTCTAGTTCCTGGTCCCCTTTTCCTATTGGCCTCAGTTGCTTTTAAGGTATCTGCTGTAGTTTCTCTGCGTTGAGGGCAACAAATGCTAGCTAGTTTTTTAGGTGTCTTACCTATCCTCACCCCTCCCTTGTGTGCTCTCGCTTTTATCATGTGCTCATAGTCTAATCCCCTTGTTGTGTTTGCCCTTGATCTAATGTCCACGTATGAGGGAGAACATATGATTTTTGGTCTTTTGGGCCAGGCTAACCTCACTCAGAATGATGTTCTCCAATTCCATCCATTTACCAGCGAATGATAACATTTTGTTCTTCTTCATGGCTGCATAAAATTCCATTGTGTATAGATACATTTTCTTATTCCATTAAGTGGTGGGGCATCTTGGCTGTTTCCATAACTTGGCTATTGTGAATAGTGCCGCAATAAACATGGGTGTGCAGGTGCCTCTGGAGTAACCTGTGTCCCAGTCTTTTGGGTATATCCCCAAGAGTGGTATTGCTGGATCAAATGGTAGATCGATGTTTAGCTTTTTAAGTAGCCTCCAAATTTTTTTCCAGAGTGGTTGTACTAGTCTACATTCCCGCCAACAGTGTAAGAGGGTTCCTTTATCCCCACATCCTCGCCAACACCTGTTGGTAGTGGTGTTGCTGATGATGGGGTGAGGTGGAATCTCAGTGTGTAAACCACATTTTTTAGAAGCATACTGGATGTTTTCATCCTAGGTGAAGAGGTAAAATACATTTTTTTTTCTCTAAAATGCAACCAAATTCGGTATTTAAAAGCATTCCATTCATTTCTAGAAAATATTCAGTTGTACATTTTGATTTTCAAGATTCACCTTTTTATTTGCATCTAATGTCATGTCAGAATGTATCCTTCAGGAAATTTATTATTCAGCAAGAACTTGCTGGAATTATGTATTCAAATGGAGTTACAGTGAAAAGATTTGTTTTCTCCTTTGATCTTTTAGAATTGTCACTGTCCAGGTGGATGAGAGCAATCCTGTGGAAATGAAGCTGGGCCTGCTCACAGAAAACAAGACAGTAAACACATCCAACCTGTATATCGGGGGCCTTCCCGAGGGCAAGGGCACACCCACGCTCAAAATGAGGGAGTCGTTTCATGGCTGCATCAAAAACTTGATCTTCAACCTGGAGTAAGTGTAGCTGGACTCTCAAGCATATTTTCCCATTTTTTATTTGCAATGTATTCTTGCTGTTGGAGGTGGCCATACATTCTGCAAGTTCTTGAATAACAAGTGAACATCATTGTTCTCTCACAAAAATCTCCCTGAATAGATTTTATTGGATTAGAATGATGGAAACATCTTTTACTTCATTTTTAAAAAATCACTGACTATTAGCCCTGTGTGTTTGTCCATAGCTGAGGTTAAAACATATTTTAGACATGCATTTCTCAGTTCACAGAGATTTTGTGTCCTGCCATTTTGAGTGCACTGCTGTGAAGGATCCCGACTGGACTACTCGCTGCTTCATGTTGCTAATAGTTCACCCTAAAATAATCATGTGTAGTCATGAACTGGAAGTATCCGTTCCCTGTGTGAAGCTCAGGGCATGTGCTGGTCATTCCTCTTCACTCAGCTCTGTCTTGGTCAGCTGCTCATGGGTTGAAGCTGTGCCCTGACCTGCAGGCCAGCACCTGCCCAGGGGATGCTGAAAGTGTGTTCAGCATAGGGGACAGAGGCTCCCACCCGGCTGAGCTGCTGACCTGCTTGTGCCCTGGAGCAAATGTGGTCATCTCTCATGTTCATGGTGTCTTTGTGAACTTACCTATTAGGACTCCCTGAAATTAGCAAGAATAAAACCTAGCATGGGTTCCAACTCAATTACCACATGGAATTTTAGTTTAGTTGTTCGCAGTCTTCTATTCACTCACCCCCTGGCTGCTTCTCCATTATGCATTGAGGGGATGGATCCAATAGGACAGAGACTATGTGGTTCATAGTCCTGACTTGGGGAAGTGCCCATGGAATCTGGACAGGACAGGGCATGACTTAAGACAAGTACAGCTCGTGATCTCCTAACAAGCAGAAACAAGAAGTCAGTGTTTGCACTGGCAGAGTGGCTCAAGTGGTAGAGTGCCTGCCCAGCAAGTATGAGGCCCTGTGTTCAAGCCCCCGTACCACCAAAAAAAGGTCAACATTTAATGGAGGCCACTTGCAGTGCTGTGGGAACCAGAGATGCTTGTTCCTGAAGCAACTCAGCCAAGCCTGCAGGAGGAGGTGACACCATGGAGCCCACTCTGTGCTCAGGAATGGCCAGATCACCAACATGGGTTGGGCATGGCTGAGGGTGTGGGTTGTCATTTCAGGCAGAAGAGCCAAACAGGAAGATAAGTAAGATAGCAAATATACATAACTCTCAATCACTGTGAAGGGTGATCAAGTTAGGTACTCTAGAGAGAAATATATTAATAATTTTAATGGATTTTAATTGTGCAATAATCAAATTACGTGGGTTCCTATGCTGGCTTGCAATACCTTAATTCTGAAGACACTCTCTTTTTTATCTGTAGACTTTTGGATTTCACCAGTGCGGTTGGCTATGAACAAGTGGACCTGGACACCTGTTTGCTTGCAGAACAGCCCAAGCTGGTCCTTCATGGAGAGGACACTGAGCTCCTGCCAGCGCCCCCAACTCTTCCACATTCCTGTAAGCAGCTTCTTCTAATGGTTTCAGTCATGTCCAATGAGAAAGATAGTGGAGACAAGAGAAGTAGGAAGGGGATCTGGGCATAAAAGCATTGGCTAAGCTGGAACTGGAGCTGTGAAGCAATGGAAAGAGGTAGCGTCACCAGCGCCCATAAGCCAGGCAGTCCAAGGGAGGGGACAAGGAGCAGAGAGGGCCAGCTGGCAGGAACTGAGCCCAAGGAGGCACCCGAACCTGGAAGGGAGAAATGTTGTATCTTCCCCTTGCACTGCTCTCCAGTCCCCCAGCCAGGCCTCCCACAGGCAGAGCCTCTAGAAGCCATTGGACCATGGAGCCTGGGAAAGTGGCTCACAGAGTCACCCTCCCTGTGATAAACAGCAAAGCAGGAACAAGGTGGAGATGGTTTTTTGAGCCAACTTGTTGGTGACACAGCCCAGCCTTTCCACTTGCAGGTCAGAATGCTCAGCACCCTGAGTGTTGACATCCCACAAACTTTTTATGATAGGCATCCCATAATGCCTTATCACCTTAAATGTAGGCAGAAAATGTGAAAATAAGTAGATAATGGACGCCATGTGTGCCTCATCCTTAGGAAAACAAAATTGGTCCATTTGGAAAATACCAATCAGTGATCTTTTCATTTTCTCCCTTTCTGATTTCTCTGTTTCCTTGGTTAGAAATGTGCCCTTTAATGATTTGGAAGGTGGCCTGGTCATCCAAAAGCAGTATTTTCTAAGAAGGGCCATCTTTGAGCTTAGGACTGCCCACCTCAAGCCATAATACTGAAATTCGGCCCTTCCTTTGGGTCAGGTCCATGTGTGAAGCACTGTGGGGCACCAGCACTACCCCTGTCCTGCCCTGTGCACCCCACCCTCAGCCCTGGGGTCCAGAAGCCCTGCCAGGCCAGTCCTGTTTCTCCTGTCTGCATCTTGCTCCTGTCCATGTCAATTTAGAAACATCAAACTTAAGGCCTCTTGGGATCTGTCACCTGTGGGCACTTTCCTCTTCCAGTGCCTATGCTGTAGCTGCTCCTTGGTCACAGGTCCTCACGGACATTCCCAAAACATGGAGGAAGGAAGGTCTTTGCCCCTTAGGCCCTGATGAAAGTTCATGGGAAGGACTCCAGTGTTCATGTGAATGTGGGTGAACTTGAGTGGGATGAATGTGAGAGTCAGAGGCCCTAGTTGCCTTCTTAGAAAAGGGGATGGTACACTATTCCCAATAGCCAAGTTATGGAAATAGCCAAGATGCCCCACCACTGACGAATGGATTAAGAAAATGTGGTATCTATACACAATGGAATTTTATGCAGCCATGAAGAAGAACGAAATGTTATCATTTGCTGGTAAAGGATGGAATTGGAGAACATCATTCTGAGTGAGGTTAGCCTGACCCAAAAGACCAAAAATCGTATGTTCTCCCTCATATGCGGACATTAGATCAAGGGCAAACACAACAAGGGGATTGGACTATGAGCACATGATAAAAGCGAGAGCACACAAGGGAGGGGTGAGGATAGGTAAGACACCTAAAAACTAGCTAGCATTTGTTGCCCTCAACGCAGAGAAACTAAAGCAGATACCTTAAAAGCAACTGAGGCCAAGAGGAGAAGGGGACCAGGAACTAGAGAAAAGGTTAGATCAAAAAGAATTAACCTAGAAGGTAACACCCACGCACAGGAAATCAATGTGAGTCAATGCCCTGTATAGCTATCCTTATCTCAACCAGCAAAAACCCTTGTTCCTTCCTATTATTGCTTATACTCTCTCTACAACAAAATTAGAAATAAGGGCAAAATAGTTTCTGCTGGGTATCGAGGCGGGGGAGAGAGAGGGGGTGGAGTGGGTGGTAAGGAAGGGGGTGGGGGCAGGGGGGAGAAATGACCCAAGCCTTGTATGCACATATGAATAATAAAACAATGAAAAAAGAAAAGGGGCTGGTAACACATCATTTAGAGCAAAGACATGACTGAGGGCAGCTGTTCTGCCACAGTGGGTTCTGAGACAGTTTCTTCATGGAGAATGTGTCCATTAGTGGGATTCTGGTGCTGGTGACTGAGCATCCCTGTGCTTCTCTTACAGGAACGGTGTGTGGTGGACACCATTCCAGACCATGTTCCCGGTGCTCACCAGTTTGGCCTCTCACAAAGCAGCCACTTTGTGTTGCCTTTTAATCAGTCAGCTGTCAGAAAGAGGTAGGTATTTCCAAAAGCCCCTATGAGGTTCGCATTGCTAGATAGTCTGCGATGTGGTGACATTGTCCCTCTGAGGAAGCTACTCAAATGCAACCTCCCCAGACTCCCTGTGGTTCCAGCGCCCACAGTGGCCACGAGTGGGATTCCTGACTATCAGCCACAGTCAAGCCTCTTAGGTTAAAGTCTCTGTATTATCCTAAAACAGATGGGGGCTTTCCTGCTCAGCTTGGTGGGGTCTTGATCCCTACTGCCTGTCTTCCAAAGCTCAGCCAAAATGTCATCTTTTCAGAGTTGCCCACTCTGACTACTTAATGTAGCCATTTCATGAGCCAGTTGTCACTCTCTTATATACTGGCTTTGGTTTAATGATGGAAGGTCCTCCTCCTTGTCCACTGCTTTATTCTAGAACAGTTCCTGGCAGACAGAGGAACACAGTAGCCATCCCCCTAACGGATGTATTCATGAAGGAAGGTCTGCCCCCCTCTCCATTTAGTGCAATTTCTTAACGACAGGGAAAGTCTGGCTCATGAGTTCCCTGAGTTGTCATAGTCGATAGAAGATATTTCAGGTTAGAGCCATTCCGTACACCACCATAAAGACGTTCCTGGAGTCACAGATTTTATCCGGACAGTTAACCCTTCCAAATACTCAGAAGATTTTTACCGTGCTCCTTTCATTGCTCACTCTCTGAGTCTGTATAACTTTGGAGAATTGTCCACACAGTGCCTCCTTGGAATGGTACGTTAGGCACTTTTTTGACATGACCATGTCTGAAGAGAGTTACAACATATACAACACTGTGTATGCTGTGACCAGTTCCCTTGATGAGATGTTCCTGCATCAAATAGAAGTGTAGCCAGTGGGAAATGGGAAGGGGATGGTGTTCTCCCCCTCACAGGTAATATCTTCCATCTTGGATGGCACACACCATAAGCAAAGTTACTTTCTGCAGCAGTTCTACACTGCTTCTCTTTCTTGAGGCATTAGCTAGAAATGCTAGGGCAATGGTTGGGCTCTCTCGGAGATTCCTTCAAACACTGGAGGTTCCGGCTTCTTGGTGCTGAGTGTTTGTTCTTCCCCAGGCTCTGGGTTCAGCTGAGCATCCGGACCTTTGCCTCCAGTGGTCTCATTTACCTCATGGCTCATCAGAACCAAGTGGACTATGCCACACTCCAGCTCCACGACGGCCGCCTGCATTTCATGTTTGACCTTGGGAAGGGCCGAACCAGGGTCTCTCACCCTGCCTTGCTCAACGATGGCAAGTGGCACACGGTATGTTCTCAGGAGGTTTATTCCAGTAATCTCTGGTGCTCACTCCATTTCCCAGATGAAAGCTGTGCCTTTTGGGGTCCAGCTTGCCTTGTGTCTGACATCACTTCTAGAGGATGCAAGTCCTTAGAGGCAGGACTCTTTTTCTGCTTCCTGGGCTCCAGAGCCTTCTTCACTGCCCAACACCCAATAGATGCTCAGCAACTAATAGCAGAAGGTACCAGAAATGTTCTCAACCTGACAAGAAGTAAATAAAGCCCATCTATGGTCTGAGAGGCCCAACCTACCCATCCATGGTGTTTGCTTTCTGATATCCAGGGCTCTGGAACACTCTCTAGTTTATGGTGTGCCTCACTTCTGCCAAGCTCAGCCTGTTCTCAGCCCAAACAGTGCAACAAATGAGAGCTATCCCTCAGGGCTTCATTTAGGCTGGTATAGACACCTGTCACAAAGATATATCTGTTAAAGTTTTCTCAGGTTGTTTATAAATTCTGAATGTTTTTATCTTGGTGTAGATCAAGACGGAGTATGCTAAGAGAAAAGGTTTCATGACTGTTGATGGCCAGGAGTCCCCCATGGTGACAACTGTGGGAGATGTAACCATGCTGGATGTGGAAGGGAAGCTGTATCTGGGAGGCCTCCCCGCCCAGTACAGGGCCAGGAACATTGGGAATGTAAGCGTGTCTTCTGGACCGGCTCTTGTTACCTTTGTTGTGGTCGTGTTTATTTGTAGACAAGCATAGTTTATGTTTAAATTACCTGGACCTCACCTGCAGAATACAGATCTTTAAAGCATGTTCAGAGATTGTGTGTCAGGGTTCCTCTTAGAGCCTACCAGCTTGTCCTACCTGCCTGTCCGTTCATGAATACTTCCCTTTCTAAAGCTCCTTAGCTCCAAAACATTTAGGAAACTGAAGAGACTTGAACTTGTATGTGTACATCAGTAAGCTGCAGTGTTCTTGATTTGCATAATACTTCACTGAAGCACTGGAAGCCACTTCAACTGCATTAGTAGCAGAAACTCAAATGGTAGCTCTAAGTTCATGTGAGCTATTGTGGCAAGTACATTTTAGAATCTGAGAGATAATATCGTTCTGTGTTTTGTTAAGACAAATTTGATGAAGTATAGGAAAAACTTGTCCTGGTTTCCTTATAAACACCACCTGTTCTCACGTCATTTGGTTTAGGTCACCCACAGCATCCCTGCCTGCATCGGGGAGGTGACAGTTAACGGCAAACAGCTGGACAAGGAGAGCCCAGTGTCTGCCTTTGCAGTGGACAGATGCTATGCAGTGGCCCAGGAAGGAACTTTATTTGAAGGAAGTGGCTATGCAGCTCTTGGTAGGTATCATCCACCATCTCAAAAGAACTCCTTAGATTAGTGTGTGCTCCAACATGACATGGGTCTAAGGAAGAGGTAGGAGGACAGGATGCAGCTGGAAAGGCTGCAGCAGAATAATATTTAGTTTGGTGTTCTGGGTTCTTCCTAGTTTCTTGCCTGTTTGTGCAAAAGGCTTCTTGGCTCTGTGCTGTCTGGGTGGCCTGATAGAGGGTTTCTTCCACCAGGACTGGTGTTACTCCTCACAGAGGGCAGACATGGACTTCCAGCTTCACCTGTATTTTCCCTGAATTTATGCAAAGTGCATTCACTGTCCAAGTTAATAAAAGCCAATGGATTCAAATTCAGCACCATGAAGTGTCTAGCACAGCCTGTGCCAGGGGGGCTCTGGCAGAAGATTGAGCAGGGAGAGGGAAAGCAAGTGGAACTTTTTCACTTCCTGTCATCTGGAGGCTCAGACTCCAGTCACTTTCTGTGTTCTCAGCTCCTCTGAGACCCCCTACTGCCATGCTCTGGTAACTACCTTTTCCTGCAGGCCTGGGCATGGTCACAGCAGCCTGTGATTGTTCATCACCTCAACTTGCTTTCTCAGCCATTTATCACTTGAGTAGGAAAAAAAAAAAAAGTTCAGTCCCCACTTTCAACAAGCCTGGCATGGACTGGGGTTCCCTCAGGAAATAACAATATAACGAGGTCCATGGATTCTGGGAAGATGAGGGTGTGTAGGGATCAAACCTCAGCAGCACATGGAAGGATGCCCCCAAATGGACGTGTCCTTGGGCCCCAGGGGCCAGCTGCCCACATGGCTACAGATGACAGGAGTGCCCGCATCTACTCCATTCTGGCTTGTCCCAGCTGATCTTTAGTGTCTGCTTCAAAAGCAAGGTTTCTTCCTACAGATGTGAAACTGAGGCCTAGATGGTGGGGAAGGGCGACCAGCTTACTGGTGGCAATGGAGCTGGATCCAGAGGAAGAGCTGGAGGGAGGTCCTGAACTCAACTGGTTGCCCAAATGCATAATCTGTCCAGTCTGCGCCTCTCTGAACCCAGGCCAACCTGGGCCCAGCAAGGGCTCACCTGACTTGGTGCTCTGCTTGTGTGTTTCAGTCAAAGAAGGCTACAAAGTCCGATCGGATTTAAACATCTCACTCGAGTTTCGGACCTCTGCAGAGAACGGCGTCCTCCTGGGGATCAGCAGTGCCAAAGTGGATGCCATTGGCCTAGAGATTGTAGATGGCAAGGTAGGGGCTTCATTCCGTGGTCCAAATGGCCCAGTGTCAGAGATCAAGCAGCCGAGATGTTCATTTCCCATCCTCCACTTCATTAATGGAGTCAAGAAAAGGTTCCATGGGTACTTTGAAAACCAGATAATCCTAAAAAGCTACTTAAAAATAACTTCTTTTGTATATTTGATTTCAGCTTAAATGAAATTGCAGCTGTAATGCAAAGACTTTCCCCTTTTCACCTTAGCAGCAATAAGCTGCTGATCTGAGTCTTGCCCCTTCGAATAATTTTTCAAATTTTCATTTGGAAATGAGTGTAGAGTCACAGGAAGTTGCAGTGAAATGTAAAGGGAAGTCCCCATGCACCCTTCACCCAGGCTTCCTAGTGGTAGTATCATGAAAAAAACCAGAACCACATTAAATCCAGGTCAGGGGCACCTGCACAAGCCTCGGAGATTGTTCAGTTATGGCCGGTGTGGGATGTGTGTGTGTGGCTTGTGACACACATGGAACCATCACCACAATCAAGACACTTAATTGTACCTTTACCTCACTCCAAGCTGCCCCTTCATATCCACAACCCCAGGCCTGTACCCCAAATCCCCACCGCCACTAACCTGTTCTCCACCTCTGGGTGGTTAGTGTCATGAGTGTCACATGAATGAGTTCATGCAGCAGTTAGTTGTCCCTTGAGATTGGCTTTTTATACTCAGTCTGATGTCGTGGAGATCCATCCAGGTTGTGTGTACCAATGGCTCTTTGTTTTTATTGCGGAGGGTCACTCTGTGGGATGGAAAGACTGTACTCTTGATTTTTTTGTTTGTTTTTTGGTTTTTGGGATTTTCTTGTTCTCTTGATTTTTTTGATGCAAAAAATACACTTCTTTCCATGACTCTTCTCTTCTCAGCCTCTCCTGTCCCTCTTGTGTGGGGAGCAAAATGAACTCAACACTTTGCAGTACTTTCATGTCTTTGGCTCTCCCACTGCTTCCTCCAGAGTGCTCCCAGCGCTCCCCCTCTCTGCTCGCTCTTTCAGGGCCATCTGGACGTGGGAGCCAGACTGCCCTCTTTTCTGTGACATTCTGTCCCTGCAGCAGTCAAGCATGGCTCCTGCTCCTGGTCTTCAGGTAGCAGTGATAGTGAGCGGCCTGGTGTCTCAGCATCGCCACTGCTCAAGGAACATTTGGTCAGTATCATTTGGGGACCAGGCTTCCCATCCTTTGTTGTCTTGGGCACTGCTGCCTCTTCATCTTCAGCCACCATCCATCTTTCCCCCAGAGTATTCTGAATTTCTGCTTTGCCACACTTAGGTCATAGGGAACCTGGGACGATGGTCTCTTAAATCTTCCCTCTATCCAACTGCCTTTTGCCACCATTTCTACTGCATTGTGACCAATTTGTATTTGTGCAGAAGCAAGATGCTGGAAGGCAAGGTTCCCCTTGGTTTCTAGTATTTTCTAACCCCCACTAGGTTTTTGGCCTGTATGATTTCCTAGAATGGGGGCAGAGAGGACCTAGGAAAGTCCTGCGTGACTTCCTGCCTTTTGCCCCTTCTCCTTCTCTAACTGCATAACTGCATGTTGAAACAAAACCACCTCTGTCATATTGCTGCCTCTCTATGTTATGGCTTAGAGTGAAATTTTCCCTTCATCTATACTTAAAAAGAATTTTGAAAAACTTTGTATTGCATTTGAAAATTCTTATGTGGCATCTAAAAATGTTATCAGAAGCATAATAGCTGCAAAAACTGTGCTTTTATGTTGCACTGTATGTTTTATTTCTCTATTAGAGTATTACTTATTGTTGTTTTTCAACTTTTTAGCAGTTGTCCAAAGATTTAAAATAAATATATATTTTTTTCAGTAATGGGGTTTGAACTCAGGGCCTCACACTTGCCAGGCAGACACTCTAGCACTTGAGCCACTCCACCAGTCCTTTTTGCATTGGTTATTTTTGAGATAGGGCCTTGCTTTGTGTCCAGGCTGGCCTGGACCTTGATCATCCTCTTTGTGTTTCCCCCAGGAGCTGGTATGACAGGTGCGTGCCACGTGTACCCAACTATTAATTGAGATGGGAGGGTCTCGAAAACTTTTTGTCCTGGCTAGCCTGGAATCTCAATCCTCCCAATCTCTACCTGCCTAGTAGCTAGGATTACAGGCTTAAGCCAGGGCACCCAGCTATAATATATATGTTTAATTTATCTTAGTCTGTGTTGAAATAATACTGAATGGTTACATAGATGGCATAAGAACCTGACAACAGTGCACTTGAAATTCTCCCTTCCTGTTTTAGTCAACTTGGCCACCAGAACAAAGTACCCCAGACTGGGTGACTTAAATTTCTCAGTTCTGGATACTGGAACTCTTGAGATCCAGTCTGAGAACAGTAGGAGTGGTTTCTTCTCTCTGCTTGGCTTATAGATGGCTGCCTTCTGCCTGTGGCTTCCCACAGTCTAGTCTGTGTTTGTGTCTGTGTCTTAATTCCCTCTTCTTATAAAGACACAGTCAGAGATTGGATTAGGGCCTACCTTAGTGGCCCTAATCCAATCACTTCTTTAAAATCCCCATCTCCAAATACAGCCATATTCTGAGGGACATTGGGCATTAGGACTAAAGCATAAATTTCAGAGGGATACCGTGCTGCACATAACCGCCACGTTTTGCAGTTTGGTCACTGTGGGATAACATCTACGGTTTCAGAAGGAAGTAAACGTCCCTGATGTGATGCTATCAGCTGACAGATCGGTAAGCCTGCTGATCCGTAGGCCTAGAAGTGTTCTGCAATGCCTGAAAACAAGGCACCAATACAAGGACGATAACTTGGACTGGCTTGTTGCCATGGAGGGGTCCAGTTGCCCCTTCTGAACTTTGGGGAAGAGAGTAGTGTCTGGATTCTTTAGGAGGCTATTTTATACCACCAGTGTTTGTTTGTCCTAGTCAGCCATCCTTCTTAACAGAATGGTGTGAGTTCAGCCCTCTACAAGCATTGGACAAATGGACTGTGCTCCTTAACTATGAAAAGACTCACTGAGCTATTTGCTTTGTTCAGCTCTTGTTTCATGTCAACAACGGTGCTGGTCGCATAACAGCTGCATACGAGCCTAGAGCTGCCAGGGCTCTCTGTGATGGGAAATGGCACACAGTCCAAGCCAATAAAAGCAAGCACCGACTCGTTCTAATTGTTGACGGGAATGCTGTTGGTGCTGAAAGTCCTCACACGCAGTCTACCTCCGCAGACACCAACAATCCCATTTATGTCGGCGGCTATCCTGGTACGTAAGAGAACCTGCCCTACGTAATGTGGCAGCCGCAGTCACTTGGGAGGTCCGAGTTTAGGGGAACAAGAAATAGGACCCAGAAAGTTACAGTTAGTTTGGTGACATAACCATCACCATTTTAGAAAATACTATTTTTCAAATACTATTCTAAATTAAAATTATCTACACACAATTTAATCACTGAGAGCACTGGCTCTGATCTAAAGCCAGCCAGATGATCTTACGAGGTCAGTCACCTTAGACGACTCCCAGAGTTGGGAATCATTTTAGGAAACAAACTTGTGAATCATTTTCTCTCTTTGATTTTACCTTAGAGTGATACCTTTCAGATGGTCCCAGAAATTATTACAAATAATAAACACCTGTTGTATGAGTTTTTAAAGTCACTGTGCTTTAAAATTATCATCTATTAAATTTTTCTATGAATTCTGCTATTCACTGAAGCCACACATGTGGAAAACTATTCTCAATTTTGATCTAGGATTCACTTGAGATCATTTTTGTTCCTAACATTCTCCCTCAGCAACATTTGTCTTCTCTTCTTTCCCGAGCAGCTGATGTGAAGCAGAACTGCCTGAGCATCCGGGCCTCCTTCCGGGGGTGTCTGAGAAGGCTCACGCTGACCAAGGGCCCACAGGTGCAGCCCTACGACTTCAGCAGAGCCTTCGACCTACAAGGAGTTTTCCCTCATTCCTGTCCTGGGCCTGAGCCCTAAACTTGTGGCAGAATCTTCAGTTAGAATTGTTGCTAATGTTTGAGAAGAAATATTTTTGTGCATTCAAGTCTTTTTCCATTCGGATTTTATTCTCAACTCAGGTCAAGTGTTTCCACAGAGAGGTGTTGTGTTTATATTAAACAAAAACCACATCGGACAACAAATACCTCTATTAAATAATCTAAAATGTAAATTGAACTCATCGGCTATCTTTTTTTAAAGTCTTTTTTAGTGGAGCTTTGTAAGCACTGAATATTCTATTGATGACTTGAAAGTATTTTATGCTTTACACTTGGAGCTTTTGAAAAATAAAATACCACTATAGCCCATAATAGATCTGAGCAGAGTATGGACACTTTCATTTCTTTATGAAAATTTTAAAGCTGATTTCTGGGCCAAGCCAGATCATCAGTTGCATTCCAGCAGAGGGCACTGTTTACCACATATGCAGCCCTTTTCAGGGGCCCACCAAGTTGTGGAAGGTGAAGGGCAAAGGGAAGGAGAAGGAGCTCCTTGAGACATGACCTTGTTCTAGGGGGCCCTGTGTAGAAGCACGATTTTCAGGACAGCGGTAAATAAAAGCATCACAGCAAGTAGATTCCTTCTTTATTGTTAATTTTAGTTTCACCCCTTATAATAACACAGTTTACCTTGATTGGCTACTTTTACCTGAGAGAATGTTTATAATTTAAAAAAGGAAAAACTTAAAGGCCACATCAGTGTATTCTCTTAATGGACTAAGCTGCCACAAGTCCAGATTCCTGAGGACTTTGGGGCCTGGATGTACTTTGTTTCTTCTCTGTGGCCACAGCTAGTGATAAAACTCTATTTCAGATGCTTCAGAAAAGTGGTTTCATTTTTTAAATGCTTACTGGACAAGAGGCCTCTACCACCTTTTCCCAGATAGAAGAGGACAGATTCATGTCTGTGTCTGTGGGGATTTCAGCTTGACAAACAAAAAGGGCCGCTGTGGGTTGCTCCTGTCCCCCTTCTGTGCCTAGTCCTGTCCCTAACCCTATGGCCCTTAAAGTAGGGGTGCCAGATAAAATTCAGGACACCCACTTCAATTTGAATTTAGGTAAATAATGAACAACTTTTATTGTCAGTATATCCTAAATACTGTACAGCATCCTGTTTCTATTTGCTAAAACTGGCAACCCCACTTTAGAGATCTCCCCAAAACATTATGGTGCCCCTTCTTCACTGTCAAAATTAAAAACAAATCCACGTCTTAAAGGACTTGCAAGAAAATTTGTTAGAGATCATATTTTACCCATAATGCTTTCATGGATTGATCAAGAATTTTTTTTCAAAACCTAGGTGGGTGCCCGAAGGCTTTGTTTAGTCAACCTATTAATCCAAAAGGTTTTAATTGTGGCAAAATACCAATAACATAAAAGTGACCGTTTTAGCCACTTTAAGTGTCTTGTTCCATGGAATTGCGTATAACCATACTGACAAGCAACTATGACGAGCCTCCATCTCCAGAACTTCACCTTGAAAAACTGAAACCCATTAGGCACTAACTCCTCATTTGCTTCTTCCAGACCCTGGCAACCACCATTCTAGTTTTTTACTCTCCGAATTTCATTGCCCAAGGTACCTTGTATCAGTAGAATCATACAGTATCTGTCCTTCTGTGTCTGGTTTATTTCAGTTAGCATAATATCTGTTATAGCATATATCAGAATTCCTTTTAAACTTAATAATATTGTACTACGTGTATGTGTGTGTATGTACACACACACAGTAGGAGACCATCGACACCTGCAGTTGTCTGGTTCCAAGGAGACCTCCATGCATACACATACTCTTGATGCCCATAATTCAGTGCTGTACTGCCATGCTTGATTCATTCTTCCCAGGATGCCACCCAACTCCTGCTAAAGCCAGGCTGCCTTTCAACAGATCTCCAAGTTCACTTGATCACTTCAGTTAAACACATCGAGTACCTTTTGTGGCTTGGAAAGATTCCCATAACTTTTGCCTTACTTTTGGGGCATCATTTGCCTTCTGGGAGGTAGATTTTCACAAAATGAAGGCAGGGAAACACTGAGCACATCACACAGAGATTTCAACACAAGTGATGGTAATGCAGGACTGACTGACAGCTTCTCTGCAGCCTTTGAGCTGCAGAATGCCCACAAAGGAATTTTTAATTTGGGGTTTTGAAATTTCTTTTTGATTTCTTATTTATTAATTTTTTGACCACATTCAGTCAAAACTGCATGTAACCCCTATTAGAATGGCTATGATCAAGAACACAAAGGATGTGGGGAAAAAGGAACCCTCATACACTGCTGGTGAGAATGCAAATTAGTGCAATCACTATGGAAAACAATATGGAGGCTCCTCAAAAAATAAAAATAGAACTGCCATAGGATCCAGGAATACATCTCCTATGGATATTCCTGAAGGAATGTAAGTCAGGTTATAATAAAGACACCTGCACACCCATGTTTATTGCAGCACTATTCACAATAGCTAAGCTATGCAAACAGCCAAGATGCCTCACTACTGACGAATGGATTAAGAAAATGTGATATTTGTATGCAATGGAATTTTAGCCATAAAGAAGAATGAAATTACATCATTTGCAGGTACAAATGACAAAAATCATCGTAAGTGACATTAGTCAGGTTCAGAAAGCCAAAGGCCAGATGTTTTCTCTCATGTGAAATACAGGTGCAATACAAATACAAGCAATGTTATATATGTATATATGGCATGTACGCAAAAGTGGGACTGGTAGAGGAGACCTAGGGAGGAGGAAAGAAGGAAAGGAAGATAGCCAAGAATAATGCAGTACATCAGATCTGCGTGGGAACAAGACAAGGAAACAGGCTGAAAACTGCTAAATAACACAGGATGGAGGGATAGGGAGAGGAAGTGCAGTGGAGTGGGGATACACTGACTTAAGCACAATGCATGTACAGGGAAAAATCCCTCTGACCAATGCACAGACACCTACACAACATAGGGCAAAATGAAAAACAGGAGAAAAACCCAAAAGAAAGAAAGTACTGATTGATGTACTTTCTATATAAGAATGAATATAGAATTTTAAAACTTGTTGAAATTACCATAACAAGGGGACTATGATAGGAGAAAAATGGAGGGGATGAACCAGTTTGGGTTATAACACACATATACATGGAAATAACATAATGAAACGCCTTATCTTAAACAAAAATCTCTTTTTCAAAAACTGAAAAGAAGGCAAAGCAGGTCCTATGTGAGGATTACTGCCAGTAGAAGGGGGGAGGATCTAAGGAAAGGATATAGGAGGTGAATGTGGTGGAAATACCATGTACTCATGTATGAAAGTAGAAAAATGAGACCTGTTGACACTATTCTAAAATGGGGGTGAGATAATGGAGAATGATGGGGGGCATAAATTTATGACATATTATAAGCACTTTTATAAATGTCACAATGTACCCCCAGTACAATGATAAAATGATAATTAAAAAACCATATGTAATAAATCTGAGAATGAGGCAGGCTTTCTGTTCACACGCACACGTGTGCACGCACACACACACACACACACACTTTCATGAACCATTCATCCCTTAATGGACACTTGGGTTTCTTTCAGTTTTTCGCTACTGTAAACAGTGCTCCTGTGCACACTGCTCTACAAATACCTGTTTGAATCCCTGTGTTCCATTCTTTTTGGATATACCCAGAAGTGGAATTGCTGGATCATCAGGTAAATCTAGCTGTAATTTTTTGAAGAATATCATACTATTTTCTGACTGTATGCTCAGCACCATTTTTAAGTCTCAATTTTCTTATGTGTAAAAAGGAATCATTTTGGTAGGCTTATGAATTAAGCACTAACTTGGTGCTTAATTTGAGATAAAAATATATAAAATGCTGTTAGAACTGCTGGGACCAGGAAGCCTATGTGTTTTTACCTTAGAATACTCCAAGTCAAGGACTCCGTAGGTTTGGGACATCTTACCTATAATACTTTTTGCAGAATGTGCAGCATTTTGGGGGTACAGCCCAATTACAACATGCTTCCGTTGGCTCGGCTGTGTTTAGACTGGAGAAGGGAAGTAGGTGGGAGCAAGGCCCAAGCGTCCAAATGCCCAGCTGGAAGCAGGAGGACTGTTGGGAGTCATAGGGTGAGGGCGGAGAGAACAGTGGGCAGGCTGAGCACAGAGAGGCCAGCTAATCAAGCAGTTAGAAAGGAGCCTAGACAGGATGCTTTGTGAGGTAGCAGAATTTCCCACACAGGGTGTTTGTGACAAAATGATGCATTTGAGATCATAAACTGCCTGGAAATGCACTGTAAGTCAAGCTGGCTGAGCAGGACTCGTGAGGTGGTGGCCCACAGCCAGGGCAGTGGTGAGGGATAAGAAGAAAATGGATGGGAGAGGCTCCTTGGATCTGTGCACTCCAGGCAGTAAGATTGCGAGGCTCAGCACGGAGCATGGGGATTGGTGGAATTGTGAATAGGAGAGAGAAAATAAGACAAATTATGAGCTGAGTTTTGAATGTGTTGTGTTTGAGAAGATGGTGAGAACTTGAGAGATGTCCTAGCTGGTTGGTGGCAAAGAATGGGGGGGTCAGACAAGCCACAGAGTGGGGTAGTGGAAAAGCACCATTAAGCCCTGGCTGAGGAAACATCAAGACAGACCTTAGAGCTACAACTGCAGCCAGTCTGGAAAGACATGTTCCTTGGGCAGTAGTGCTTGTGGATGTTTTCTAAGCTCTTCTAGGTCTGGGTGTGGTTCTTGCTCATATAGAAGTTTATGGGCTCAGTGGCTGGAATCTGTGCTCATCAGTATTTTAGTTCTTTGGTATTGGGCAATGGCACTGCTACCATATGGTTTATTTTCTAAAGGAAATAATTCTTAAGAGAACAGGTGGTTAGCAATGCAGAGATAAGGGATTCTCATCAAATTTTATGATGTCAGTGCTACTTGGAGCCTTGGGACATCCTTTCTTCACCAGTGGGAGAAACTCTTTAATGGCTGATTATCTATTTTCAGATCTCACATTATAGCCATCTGTTTTCTCCTCGGCTACCATCACTCTCTTCCACACTGTTACCTGCTTTTTCTGCTGGCCTGCAACTACTACTGTGGTTGGAGCAATCCTCCAGTACCTACCTCAGCAGGATTTTGCCCTGCACCCG